TGAAATCCTAGCCCCACCATGTGCGATGGGACTTGGCACTCAACCTCGCTAGCATCAGTTTCCCATCCGTAAACAGTGGTAGTTCTACCAGCTTAGCAGCATTGCTGTGGGCTTCCATGCGATAATATGTAGCAACAGTTCAGCTCCCTGCCTGGTGCACAGTGGGGTTTGAACAGTGCAGGTGGCATTCGTTGTGCAGTGGCCATGGGGAGCCATGGATGGTTTTGAGCCGAGAGACAGTGTTCTGGGGCATCTCCGTCAAGAGAGCAGTTCCCCAACCACCTTTTAGTAGAGGTGGACCAGAGATCCTTGCTGTGTGTGGATTCCCGTAACGAGGTTCTACGCGATAGTCCCCAAAGGCAATTTCCTTGCCTCCTCCTGCATAAATATTATATGCAAGTATTTTTAAGTCATTTCATCATGAAAAGAAGCGATTTAACATAACTATTACTCAGGATTCTTCATGAAATATGCATCAAGCAATTAGGTCTAAAAGCGAGAGGTGAGGCCTTGTACCCTGCTTGGGCCGGCAGCTGCGGGCTGAGTGATGTTTTATTAAAGCCCATGATTATGAGACGAGGTAGGGCCTGTTATTAGGCCCGGCACACCAGGCACGTTTGATAATCCTGGTGATGAGGAGGTGCTTTTTGTGATGATAATGAGGGATCTAAACGCAGTGACAGCCCCAGCACCCCCAGCCTCCGCCAGCCTTACATGACTCATTAGACAGGTCACCCACCGGAGACACCCTTAATTGTGACTTTGCTCTCGCAAGATGTCCTATCAAAGGAGACAGGCCTGACACAGGAGCCTCGCGGGCGGCCGCAGCCTGTCCAAGCTCCCTGGGGACCAAGGCCCTCCCAGAAGTGATGATGGCGAGGTGGCGTGGCCGGGGACCTGGCCCACCTGGCCCTGGAGGCAAAGAGCTCCGGGTTCTGGCTTCAGCCAAAGCCCACCTTGCCGTGTGCCTTGGCCCAGAGTGTTGTTCTCTCCCACCTCAGTCCTCCAAGGCGCCCCAAGAAAAGCTCTGTCCAGAGCATCCACAGCACCCCTGGGCATGCTGATTATCTGATGCACCCTCTTTTCTTGCTAGAAATTCTAATTTTTTTTCTCTTCTTATGCTAGTTGTCTTCTGAATTGAGTTGGGAGTCATTAAAGCCATCCCTTCACAGTTGTTTTTATTTTTTTTATATTTTTTATTTAAAAAAATTTTTTTAATGTTTATTTGTTTTTGAGAGAGAGGGAGAGCCAGAGCATGAGCAGGGGAGGGGCAGAGGGAGAGGGAGACACAGAATCGGAAGCAGGCTCCAGGCCCTGAGCTCTCAGTACAGAGCCCGACGCAGGGCTTGAACCCACAAACCGTGAGATCATGACCTGAGCTGAAGTCAGATGCTTAACCAACCGAGCCACCCAGGCGCCGCTTCACAGTTGTTTTTAAATCTTCAGCTGTTGTAAAGTAGCATCTCATTCATTGGGACCTTGTGACCCATCAGGATATATTATCAGGATATATTACGCATCTCTTGGGTGTGTGTTGACAAGGTTTTACCTGACCTATTCGTGAGTCAGAGTTTGACAGATTGTTTCAAAAAGCAAGCTCACCTCTCAGGGCCTGCCAACCCCATGTGACGGGTCTCCATAGTTGGGGCCTTTAGCAGTCAGGACAAGCCATCCCCAGTGCCTGAGATGACCTTTCCATGCCAGCCCTGTGCTGTCTCTGGCCCACCATCAGCCCTGTAGGGTAAGTACCTAGGGACCGAGGCCAGAGTCAAAGAGTCCCTTGCACAGGGTCTAACGTCTCTCCCCTGCCACCTTACCTGGCCTCATACGGAGTGTTGAGGGCTAAGTGGGATTCTCTCCTGGAGCTGGATGGTACTGAGTCAGGAGCATGGACCCTGGGAAAGGCCCACCAGGGAGGGAAGCAGCACCACCGCTGATTGCTGTGTGACCTTGGGTCGGCCACCTGACTGAGCCTCAGGACTTGGCACATAGCCTGAATCACAGGAAGTGCCTGGGAAACATTGGCTGTGAAGACCATTATGATCAGTGCCCCGTGAGAATAAAGACTGGGGGCTGTGGGCAGCAGTGGAATGGGGCATGAGGCTGCCTCCAGGCCCCTTCCTGCGAGAAGTCCTCACAAGGGGGCAAGAGCTTATGCTTACACACATGGAATCCAGGACCTTAGGCCCAGAAGCACCCTCAAAGGTCATCCGGTTAGCCTCCCCACAGATCCAGTGGTGCCAAGGACAGAACCCACCACCGCCAAAGGACCACCTCAGGTCCAGAGAACCACGGAGTGCAGTGCTTGAGCCCAAGGGGAAGGGCCGCTCCTGCTGGGGGCTCCTGATGTGGGAGCCAGCTCGTGGGCCTTTATCCCTCTACCAGGGGATGGTCATGCCTTGGACTGGGCGGTCATAGGGCCTGAGTCCTCTGCCATGGTCTGAGTTTTGTGACTGGCCTGCCCCGCTCGGCACAGCCTAGCTCAGTTACAAACCTGTGTCTACTGAAATACATGTGCCAGAGGCACTTCAGGGAGGTGCTAACAGCTGCCCTGCCTCACCTGTGTCTGTTGAGGAGGAGGCATCATTGTGGAGTTTCTGATAACCTGGTGGCCATTCCGAACCTGTGGCCTGGGAACAGAGGGGCCTTCTCTCCCTCTGGTCCCGTCAGCTGTTCTCACCATCCCTGCCACTTCCCTTGCTGGGTGTTTTAAGAACAACCACTATAAAAACGTCCCATTAAACCATATGAGTTACTTCTCTTCACCTCCTTAAAAAGTAAATCAGCTCCTCCTGCCACTTCCTTTCTGTGTTGCCAGCACAGCTTTGGCATTCTGGCCTGGCTCACAGCTATAGCTGCTGTGATCCAGTCTTCCACATCGTATGCTCTGCACCCCAGCCACAGATCTGTGGTCTGGCACCCAAAACATCACCCCACTCCACTCACAAAGAGGAGCATGACTGTCCGAGGCTACACGCCCTCTGCTCCCTCACTCACCTGCAGCTCCAGCCGGTGCTCCGCCCCCCCCCCGCCCCCACCCTTTGTCCAGGCAGAGCTGAGCTCATGGCCTCAGTGCGCAGAGCTTTTTAACTAGTCCTAGTTTCCTTAGCCACACAATCTCAGCACTTCATTCAAGCAGTTACCACCCTATCCAGGCCGGCACAGATTCGTGATCTCTCCCGTGTGGTGGGTAGCTAGTCTTTGCTTAAATGGGGTTGTACGTTTTCTCACTTACTGCACACCCCGTTCCCTTTCTAACAGCTTAAGCAAGTGCGCCTCCTGCTTCTCAGATGTGTCGAGGCAATTCTCCAATGAAATGACCCTTCGCTGAGGAGCAGAACTTGCCACAGGCTCTGTAATTAGAACATTGTCAGCCTTAAAAAATCTTGATTTAAATTTTAGTTCTTTACAGGAATTATTCTCTCTAGAAACATAATTGCTCTCCGAACGATTTCCTTTAAGCTGAGGGTGACATCTCTAAATACATTATTATGAGCAGATGTATTGCTCAGTGCCCGCACTTCATTAAACATTTGCTCTGCCATTTGAAAATGGTGCTGGAGTCCAAATTGATGCATTAACAGAGCGGGTGTCCATGAGCGCGGGGAGCCCAGTCCTGACTGGAAGAGACGTGGTAAGCCCTCCAGTGCCCCTGTGGGAGCAGTCGGAGCAACAAGAACTGAAGCTCAGAATGTTGCAAATTTGCGTTCACTTGGAGCTCAGCCTCGCCAGGGGCTGGGCCTTGGTCTCCCAGAAGCAAGGCCCCTGGGGCTGGTCACAAGTTATCAGTGCCAAGGGACAGACTCTAGAGAAGGCAGCAAGAGGTCAGAGTGCCAGCTTTCTCACTAAGTGACAAATGTGAGATAAATTGGACTGTGCTTTGGAAACCAAGCATCTACAGGTTTGGCAGCAAAATCATAAAAGGCCAGGCTTAGAGCTGAGTGGTCAGGGAAAAGGCAGCTTGGGCAAAGGCAGATTTGACAGAGGAGTGAGTGATCTGATATGGCCAGAGACCTGGGTGGAAGGTGGGAGGACCAGGGCCAGGTACTAGGGCCAGGTGGAAGCAGCATGGCCATTGCCATCTGAGATCTGTGCCCCAGCCAGTGTATGCTGGTGTAGGGGCACGGGGCTGCAAGGGGCACGGGGTCCAGGGTTCTACTCTGATCTCCAAGGGACCCACCCACTGCCCTTTTCAGCAGATACCATGCATGGTGTGTCCAGGGACCAGGCCCTGATCTGTGGAGCTCTCAGGGGGAGTTGGGAAGATGGAGAAGTAATTGCAATTCAAGGAAGCAAGTGATGGAGGCACGAGTATGCTCGGTGCTGTCAGAGGAAGGAAGGAGCTCTGCTTGTGGTAGCCTGGAAGACTTCCCAGCAGAAGAAACACTCAGGTTGGGCCTTGGAGGAGGAGGCAGAGTTCACTGAACAGAGGGAAGATGCACAGAGAAGGGAGTGCCTGCAAGGGGGCAGAGCTGGGGAAGAACACACATACCCCGGACATTCCCTTGGCTAAAACTAGTCACATGTTTACAGAGGCTGCAAGGGAGGCTGGGAAATGTAGTCCCTGGCTGGGCAGCCCCTTCCTAGTGGCAATAAAGTAGTATGGAAGGGAGAGCATCAATTTTTGGAAAACAGCTCACCTGTCATCCCTGCTACACTGTTTTCTCACCTGTAAACTGGGGGTGATGAGACCTGCCCCGCACACTTGCCAGGGCACTGGGGACTTAATCATACTTTTCGCCTGGCACACACAGCCTAAAAACTTGTCTGTGTCAGCAATAAGAGGAGCCAAGTCTGGGGGCTTGTTTTCCTGAGGAAGCCTTTCAAAAGCTCTCAAGATCCTAAAGACTCTCCAGCAGTGTTTGCTGCTGGTTCCTGGTCTATGCTGGGCTTGGGGGAGCTCTGGGGTGCAGCTGCGTTTCACTTGGGCCTGAGCAGCATGGCTGTTTCAGCCTTTGTCACTGCAGATCCTAATAATAACCTCCGTGTTTTGTTCACAGGAGCAACCAGGGCTTTATGCACATGAAACTGGCCAAAACCAAAGAGAAGTACGTTCTGGGTCAGAACAGTCCCCCATTCGACAGTGTCCCAGAAGTCATCCACTACTATACCACCAGAAAGCTGCCCATCAAAGGGGCTGAGCACTTGTCCCTCCTCTACCCTGTGGCTGTGCGGACCCTCTGAGCGGACAAGCCCCACCCTGCTCTGTGACGGGGCCCAGACTTGGAGGAGCTGGAGGCCCCCGCCCACCAGCCCCGCCGCTGTTGCAGGCGGGGTCCAATTTGTGTCGTGTGTATGGTACTAGCACACCACTGCATGTCTCTAGAATGCTGTTGCCACTTACGGGGGCTGGAGAAAGCCTGGACAAAGACAGAAGGACAGCCAACACGCCACCCCAGCCCCCACCCCCGCCCCCTCCTTGAGTTTCTGTGAATTAAAATATTTGCAAATCCAAAGAGATGCCTTCCAGGATGAACAAAGGAGAGCAGCTCCGGAGGGGCGAGGGGCGGGGCGGGAGCTCCCGGGTTGCAGCTCTTTGTTCTCCAGCTGTCACGAATTCACACCTGTGGGGGTGGGGGGTGGGGGCACTACGGTTTTCCCACCAGGGCCCCCGCTGGTGCTGGGAGACAAATGCGGGTGCTCTGAGAGCCCAGAAAGCCCCAGGAGTCTGGCTTCCCCTGTGGTGTGTGTGTATGTGTGAGTGTGAACACATACACGAGAGAGCATGGTCACACACAGATGTGAGTAAGCCCGCTAAATCCACTGTTAGTCACTCAGTGTAATCACTAGGAGATCTTCAAGGAATCATTGTGCAGTCACAAAGAGGATTCAATTATTTATGAATAGGGTGTGTAAATAAAATAGTCATTTAATACATATTCTTATCCCTTTTTTTTATATGTACGTATATATACCACAGAGGGTCTCTGAGGAGGGCAGTGTTTACCTGCTGGTTTCGTTCCCAGAGCAAGGTGTGACTCTGGGCGTGTGTGGTACGACAGGCCCCAGGGAGGGAAGGAAGCAGAGAGGGGTTTTCTTTGCCCGCCTGAGAGCCAACCTCAGGATGGTGCAGCAAGGCCCTGAGTTCCGGCTCCAGCAATGGTAGCCTCAAGTGTTGACCCACCACCCAAGCTCTCCCTTCCGCCTATAGCAGCCCAGTGATGGCAAGTCTGTGCAGAGCACCCAGCAGTCTACAAAGGGCTCTCCCATTATCTGGTCAGCGCCACCCCGTGAGGCATTTAATGTGGGGAAAAGGCGGCACAGAGAGGGAAAGTAATCTGCGCTATGTCACACAGCTTGTAAGCGAAAGAGGCTTCTTGAGTCCAGATTGGCAGCCTCCATGGCCAGTGCTTTGGCTGTCCGTGGCCTCACTGTTAACCCTGCTCCTGAGGGAAAACAAATCCTAACCTCTCAGGGGGACGTGGAGTTCTCTTGGTCGTCCATCCACACTGCTTCCCCGCAGATAACACACACGTTCCCACGGTTCACCTCCATCTTGCCTCTGCCCTTGACTGGAGCAGGGATGCTCACCACACCTTCAGGTCAGGCTCCTAAGGTTGTGAGGTTGCTTTTACTTGGTTCCTCCTCCTTTCCCTCCCACTCACCCACCACCACGCTATGGTTAAATGCTGGTGGAAGACATAGAAGAATCCCACCCAGCAGCATGACAGATAACGGCTTCCATCTGCTGAAGGACATGCAAGGATCCAAATACGGCCTGAGTTTTGAGTTTCAGTGCCTTCAAGCACACGTCTTCCTGCCTGCCCAGCTTGTCTGAATGGAGTGGAAGCTTGGTGACCGTCATCCCCAGCACAAGGGGCTGAGTTCGAACATCACCAGCAGTTCTAGACATTCAGCACTGCCCAGGCTTCAGAGATGCTTCAGGCTCACTGTTCAGATGTGGTCTCAGAGGCCCAGCAAAGAAAAAGGACTTGCGGCTGCTGCCTGTCAAACCAGGCAGAGCAGGACTAAAAGCTGTGCCTCTTTAGGGTGCTGCTGTGGATTTCCCAGGTTTGTGGCCAAAGCTGTTTCCTTAGCAACCGGTCTTTCTGCTCAGTCCACCTCGGGTCATCCTACCAGCCACAACCACCCCCCCCCC